ATAGAGAATTGAAAAGTCGATTCAGTCGTAACAACGTGAGTGAGGAAATTCGAGTAGTTTTGACCCAGAAAGCGAAATTTGAATATCAGACACTTCGGTGCAAGATTGTGCCAAAATTCCATGTTTTCCGTCTCGTTTTTGCTCATTTCTCGGAGGTAAAATGAGCAAGAACGCTCATTTATACATCATTCTAGAGCGAAATAAATGATCTTTTTAGAAAGTCAACCATGGATGGGGAAATGTTGCCAGTTTTCTCAAAAAATGCTAGAATTAAAAAAGTTTTAGATTTCCCTGCTTTTTCATGACCCCCATCACCCCCCTCCCTGGATCCGCCCTTGAATGGAGGTGACGAGATTTCCAAATAATCTGGTATAAACTTTCGCTTATTCTGTTCGTTTTTTGATAGAAAATTGTTTGATTTTTGTTCCCAATTCGAAGCTGGAAAGGGATTTAAAAACTTTTTGCAAAGCGACGAAGAATTCGAAATTTATTTCGTAATTTTTCGCGGAAAATCCCTTAAGATTGTCAGCATTTTCAAGTGAAACTAGAAAATTGAGCATTTAGAAGAAAGAATAACTTGGCTAAAACTGGAAAACTGAAATTTGAAGACATTTAAAAAACAATATTAATAAATGGCCTTTAAAATAAATCGAAAAAAGTCAGCAACTGAGTTACTGCATCGGTGCGTTGGGTTGGCGCCCCAATCCATATCCGCAGCACTGCGCCAACTCCTAAAAATGCACTAAGTAACCCAGGCCTATCGCAAACAATAATCTAATAATGTTCCATTTACAAAACGGTATTTGGCTCGAAAATCGGAGCGATTATTAATGATCGGTTTCTGAGCGAAACATTTGAGACAGCTTTTGGTTTATCGGCCATGATAAATGGCCCTAAAGGACGGCACACGTTCGATCTGCCGTTCTATTGTTCCATGTCGCATTCGAATCCAAAATGCTGAACGATTAGACGAAACAATGGGCCCCAAACGCTTTCTAATCGTGCCGCGGTTGTTGGTGTTTTCGGAAACTTTTGCGTCTCCAATAAGTCAAATAAGCTATGGATGCTGTTGGCAACGCTGATAAGTCCCATGTCTTAAACAATAGTTCATTAAACCGCACAAAAGTCGTTTAACCAGTAGCGCCACGGAGCGGGGGCGTTGCACGCCAATGCGACCAGTCGAACTACATTCCGCTATTCACTTGTTTCGTCGATGGGTTGTGATGGGCGGACTGCGAACTTCCCATGCTTCGAGCCGACAGCTTCAATACCAGCTGATGGTACAACTCAAAAAGCCCAAGAACACTTAAACACGACAGAAGACAATCGCCAGTATGCTCCAAGGGGCTTTGGACCCAAACTCGGCCTCCACCTTTGCCAGATTCGAGACCCATTGACTTGGCAGTTGGGCAGAAACTGGCCAGTTGCGTTGGTGCAATCGGTCAAAGCCACTAATTCCATATGGATGATGTCCTGTTATTGATGTTGGTGCTATACTAAAGCGAACCTTTGACCGAATGCCAAGCTAATAGAACGAGATCTGTATTATCGATATGGGTTCGGGTTTCCAAAGAGGCCATTGGCTTTGGTCTAGTTGGCCACAGTTCGAATCTGGCCAACACGAAGCCTGGAACGAGACTGTTTGCAGCAAAACAGGGGTTTTCCTGTTTGTACCGACATGGTGGCAGGGAAACAGTCGAGGGTTTCACCTGTTTTTTGTGCTTTACCGCCCTCCAAGAGGAAGCACCTGTCGCGCTCAAACCCTAAAGCCCTACATAGCTGTTGGGATTTTCCCACAGATTTGCACTTACAACCCTACACATTTCGGGCGGAACCAATAGAGAAGCTCGACTGAAGTTGACGCAGAATGAAGTTTTTGCGAAGCCTTTGCATGTCACCAAGTCAATGACTTGTGAGTTAATGCGGCCTGAAACAATGAAAATCCAGTTGGTTCTTCAGGCAGCGCCGAAAAAGCCCCCATTAAGCGCTGTGATTAGTC